GTCTCACTGAGACGCGTCGAATGGTGCTAAGATCATGTCTCTAGCACCGATAGATAGCTTGCTAATTCCAATTATTGATAAATCATTTAGTGTGGGTTAACGTGTGGTCTATCGATGCTAGAGACATGATCTTACCACCATTCGACGCGTCTCGTCGAGAGGAATCCAATGATATATGGCTCGACTTTGTACGATCACTAGATGGCCGGCTATTCGATTTTTCGCATTTTTATAAAAATCGGATTAAACCGAACCGAACTGCCGGTTTTTTGGTTCGGTTCTTACGGATTTTGGCTCTAATCCGAACCGTCTATAATCCGGACCAAACCGACCCGTTCAGAGCTTTAGTTCTGTATTATCAAGTAAGTTAGTTAGCTCCAAATTCTGCTTTGTAGTAATCTCATCATCAAACCATTCTAAAGTTCTTTCTCTCATACAGGCTCTTAAATGTTCTATTGCATTATCTCTTCCTGTTGAAGAACCTGCTAGATTATCATTTGGATCTATTTCCTGATTCTGTAAGTCTAGTCTAAGTTGCGCAAGAAAGTCTGGGATACTATCATTTCAGTCAAAATATGGATGAAGTATTCCTACCATGTTTACTTGATTAGGTGGATTATTCTGAAACGCCAAAATTTGTTCCTGCAAATTTAAATTATTCTGGCGCTCTGCTTGGGTCTTATTTTTTCATTTCTCATATCGCTTATAGAGCCTGTCTTGATTAAATTCTAACAGACCTATATATATTCCCTCTATTTTACTATAAGTGGTAGGCATTTCGCTGATACAATAATTGTAAGGCAAATTTTTCTTATACCAGTACACCTATACGGTCTTATTTTTTTGCCATATTACCTATCATTCTATTTACCTGATTTTGAGCATTAGTTTGATATTGATGGAGATCACCAATAACATTAGCCATCCTACCTTCAGCAAGTTGCCTTCGTATAATTTCATTATCACGCTCAGCTTTTGCATCATAATGCCTTTGTTGCTCACGGACTAAATTCTGATGCAAATTATTTTCTTTTCAGCATATTTACCTTGTAGCTCTTTTTATTTGGTCTATAAGAATATCCCTAGTTGTTGCTCTATTATCTACATAACAATCTATAGCATTTACTAACTCTGTGATTGTGGCCATATTATCATCAGAATTATACAAGTCTGGAGAATTCCCTTGTTTAGGCAAATTTTTTCGTGATGAGATGCTTTTGATCCAGTATAGCAATTTCTTAACTTGTTTCTCAAATTCTACTAACTGCTCTTCTAAACTAGAAATATATTTTTTCTTATCTCACACATCTTTCCTAGCTTGATATAGCTGACTTTTTAGGATGGAGATTTCAGATTTTAACTCTACTATTTCTTCTTTCGAAGTATTTTTAAGGCGCTCTATCTTCCTATTGAGATCTTGAATTTCTTGCTCACATCAGGAATAATCCTGTTCCAATTGATTAATTCGTCTCTCATTTTGGCGATTAGTATCAACTTCTGTCTGCAATTTACTATAAAGATGATAGTTCTTTTCTTTCAGCTCAGCTTTATGTTCTTCACATATTCTTCTCTGTCTTGGGTGAGATCTGTGAAATGACATTTTTTTTCATGATTATAAAAGAGAATGGGAAAACCTTTGATTTATATTGATCCTCAGAAAGTGCATAATCTTAACCGAGATCTTACTTTGCAGAAGTATAAGGAAAAAAGTACCACAACTAATGAGAAGAATCTGACTTCATGGATGCCAGCTCTTTTTCCGTTTCTTCTACTTGTATCTTTAGATTATCAATTTCACATCATAATTTTTTATTTACATTAACCCGCTCCCTATATTTCTTTTCTATAGTATCTAGCATAAATTTCTCAAAAGTTCGTTTATTATAATCAAGCTGTTGCTGAGATAGTACTTTAAGCTCATTCATAAGTCATAATCCAGTGATTATTCTCTTTTTTATGATCATGCTTTAGTGTCTCTGGCCAAGTGATATTGTCAGTTTGGACTTTATTATCTGATAATTAAAGTTTTAATTTTTTCATTGAAAAATCAATGAAAAAGTTGACATTGGATGATGCTTTTGCAATTGCCAAAGAGCGCAGTAGAACATGTGTTTCTACTGAATATATTAATGCTAGTACCCCAATGCGATGGAAATGTGCAAACATAAATGGACTGCAACTCTTAATAATATAAAAAATGGTAAAAGATGGTGCCCACATTGTACAGTTAATCGACCTCTTACTATCAAAAATGCAAAGCAACTAGCTCATAGCAAAAATGGGCTATGTATCTCTACTGAATACATTAATGTCAATACTCCAATGCAATAGCAGTATACAAAAGGTCATGTTTGGACTGCAACTTTACCTAGTATAAAAAATCATAAGACATGGTGTCTACATTGCACAAATAATAAGCCTTATACACTTTAAGATGCCAAGCAAGTGGCATGTAATAGAAATGGGCTATATATTTCTACTGAATATGATATTAATGCTAATACTTCAATGCAATGGCATTGTTCCAAAGAACATGATTAAAATGCATCTTTTAATAATATAAAAAATGGTAAAAAATGGTACCCACATTGCGCAGATAATAGATCTCTTAATATCAAAAATGCAAAGCAATTGGCATATAATAGAAATGGAATATGTCTTTCTAAATATTTTACTTATAGTTGTTCAGCTTTATTATAGAAATGTGCCGAAGGACATTTATGGATTGCATCATTTAACAATGTTAAACATTCAAACTCGTAGTGTCCATTCTGCTCAAAATATAAAAGAAAAAAAACTATGTCGAAAAATAGTATCAAAATATCTTGGACCACTATCTAAAATACGCTGACCTGATTTTTTAAAAACACTCAAATATTATCAAGAATTAGAACTTGATATTTTATATTATGATTATAGTTTTGCCATTGAAGTTTAAGGGAAGCAACACGAAAAATTTAATAAGTTTTTTCATAGAGGTAATTCTAATAACTTTATCAAACAGCAAAAACAGGATCAACTTAAAAAAGAATTATGTGAAGAAAACTGGATTGCCTTAAGGTATGTTTGGTATTACGAAGACACATATGTAGTTATTCCAGAACATCTTTGAGAATTGGGTCTAATTGAGTAAACTCAAAACTTTAAATGTATTTGTGCGATTTATTGATTAAATAATTGTTATATGTAATTTTTTAGTCAGAATAAAAAATATCAGACTAATTATTTTTGCTATTTTTTCTATTATACTAGGTTTCTCACATTTCTTCAGATCATTAAAATTTCTGGTACAGCTCGTCAGAAAAAAATATTAGATTAATCATATTAAAATAAAATACACTATAAGTGACCCAGAGCTTTTTACCTTTTTTTCTGCTACTCAGGTTGTAAAAGAAATTGCTAAATTCTGGCCAATGCTGTAAGCACTGCTTGTCTCCCTTTTGGACTTGCGAAATCGAAACCAGTTCTCAACCCATTTTGTCCTGGCCATCGTTGAATTTCAATTGATCGTCTTTTGGGCAAACCCTTTCTTATCTCCTTCAAATATGCCTTAGAAATTGTTGCCTTATAAAATGTAACATAAGTGGAAATGACACGAACTGTGAATAAAGTCTGATTTGTAACTTTCTCTTTTGTATTTACATTTGCCACAGCAAGTATTTTGGCAAGAATTTGTGCTTCACCAAAATCAGTCGTTACATCAACATTTTCCAAATGCTTATCTTATAGGGGAAAAGATTTTTGAGTCATCAAATAATATGACATGTCAAATAATCGAAAATACACGAACCTCTACAATTATTGTCATAGCAACTCCTTGCTTTTCTATTACAAATTCAGCTATTGCCATTATCTTCTTATCACTAACTTTTATCTTGTATTTTTCTTTAACTCTAGATTAATGTGATACAAAGTTAAAAAGTCATTATGATGGCACATAATGAACAAAGACATTTTTTATTATTTCTTACTTAACCGCTAATGGCCAATTATCAAAATCAATAGCGCGATATAGCAGATGAGTTACCAATGAGTCAGTTTTGGATTCCTTCATGCCCACATCAAGACCTGCGTTCATGACGACCTGGTGAAGTTTGTAAAAGAACGTTTTTACGTGTCCATCTGAATTAATATTGCCAACGTCGAAGTCACACCTTTCAAGAGTAACGCAAGTAATATTTTGCATAATGTATGTACGCAGAAAGTTTGTGGCTGGACAATATTTAAGTTACAAGATTATAAGATTCACTAAGAGGATTATTAACATAACGCAGTTCTTACTTTCAACAGCAGGTATAACTTCGTTCTCATTTGAAGCTGGTATGAAAGTCGCATTTAGTATCCTTATATCATCTTCTGTGAAATTGGATGCGTAATGAGGAAGATCCTTTAAGTCATAACTGGAACGTGAACTGAAACTGAAGCTGGAATGAATACTATAATCTCTGGTTCTTGTAGGATCTGAAACTTGTCTGGTAATACAACGGTCAGGTACAGTAGAACTCTGTTCAACAGTTTCTTGTGCTTTTTGTATGGTCTTTTTTGGAAGACTCTCGCTTTTACGTTCAGCATTTCTGAAACTAGAGTCAAAACGGATACTAAGATCTTTGATGACTCTTGTAAAACCTGAATCTTGTCTAGTAATGCCAGTAGAACTTCCTTTTGCAGTTTTTTGTTTTTTTGAAGCTTTTTTTGTGGTTTTTTTTGGAGAACTTTCACTTTCACATTTGACATTTTTTTGTTTCTATGTTTCTTGTGTGATCTGTTTCTGTGAGGTTTTTTGTGTGGTCTCTTCCAGAAAACTCTCACCCTTACTTTCATTTTTTTGTTTCCTTGAAGTCTTTTGTGCTAGAAAACTCTCACTTTCATTTTTGATATTTTTTGTAGTACTTTTTAGATGACTCTCACTTTTGACGTTTTTTTGTTTCTGTTTTTTTTCTTTTTTCAAAGACATCCTATAATACAGTGTGACAAAAAATAGAAGCTATTGTGAAAAACGAAAAGTATACAATTTTACTGGAGAAAATTTTTTTTTCACATGTCAGAAAAGTAAGTCACGATTATATCATGCATGCGGAATTTCTATGACCTTCTGTAGTACAAGTAGATTGGGCATTTTTTTTATGTTGATCATCACTAAGGTTGCTTGCCAAAACCTAGGGGTTTAGACAAGATAGTGTTTTGCCAAAAAGTGAAATTCTGCCAAAACTATATTAAAGTTATATTAAAAAACTGGTGAAACTTTGAAGAAAGGCGAAACTGCCGAAACTTATTATAAATGCTGAAACTGCTGAAACTCTGCCAAAACTAAGGTTGCTTGTCTAAACCTCTTCAAAATCCTATGATTAGTTTCGTCAAAATTTTACTATAGATTTATTATAGTTTCAGCAGAGTTTCGGCAGTTTTGGCATTTATAATAAGTTTTGGCAGTTTCGTCTTTCTCCAAAGTTTCACCAGTTTTTTAATATAACTTTAATATAGTTTTGGCAGAATTTTGCTTTTCGGTGAAATGCCATCTTGCCTAAACCCCTAGGTTTCGATAAGCAACCTTAGCCAAAACTATAGTAAAATTTTGATGAAACTAATCGTAGGATTTTGAAGAGATTTAGACAAGCAATCTTAATCATCACAATTTCTAAGTTTATTGTATTTGTTCTCACTAGGCACCTGATTTTTTTAAGACCCAGACATCTCTTATAAAACTCATAACTGACTTTTTGCCAAAAAAAACCCAATTTGCTTTTTTTTATTTTCTGTTTTTTGCAATTATCTCAGTTTCAGTGATCCGATTTATACGGATTTTTTTTATTTTGTAAAGCTTGATGAGAGCTACAAAACAAAAAAAGGTTCGTACAAATTGGACCACTGGATGCCAAGATAATTGCAAAAAACTGATTTTTTTTGTGAAATTTAGGTCAATCTGCGAAAAAGTTGACACTGAGTTGTATACTGTATGTAATGTTTGAGGTCCTATTTTTTTATCCTCTTCTGTTCAGAGTAATTTTACTTTCATATCGATGTTTACAAACATTTTCCATTTGTTTGCTAAAAACTGCATTATTCTTTAGCTTTTAATACATAACCCAGTGGGATACCACCATTTGATATAATTATATCAAATGGTGGTATCCCACTTAAATTAGATTATAGTATCACCATATAATCTAATTATCACTATATAATCTGGATACCACTATATGATCTGATTACCACCATATAATCTGAATATCACCATATGATCTAATTATCACCATATAATCTAAATAATATAATCTAATTACCACCATATAATCTAATTAATGTGATCTAAATACCACCATTTAATCTATACATCTGATATCTATTTTATGCTCTAGCTATCTTTTTAAGCCTTTTCTATTAATATCTAATTACCACCACATATAATCTAACTACCACTGACAAGTTATCTGACTACCACCATATATGATCTAACTATCGCTCTTTTTTTGCCGTTTTTGAACTATTTGCAAGCCGAATCCTACCTTGAAGGAATTAGCCTTTTGCACCAGTTTGGAATCTAGTTCCTATATTGAGGGTGCGGATAGTCTGTATGGTCCGGTGCAAAAAGATTTGTACCTCAAACAGAGGACCGAAAAAAAAATTTTTTATTATGTAAATTTTTTTTATTTATTTAATTATATCAATAACATGTTGGGAAAATCAAAATATGAATATTAGATTAAATAACGCAATCTTCATCAGAATTATCATATTCGTCAAAATCGTCATCCATTAATTGTGCGTTATCGTCAAATTCTAAGTATTCCTTAGCATTTTTAAGTGCTCTTCTCCAGAACCCAATGATTACCTGTGATGTAATTTTTTTTTTAAAAGCATTTAAAAGTGTATTTCGAACAGATAAAAGGTTTGGATGTGGGCCTGAATGTGCAACTTCACCCTTCACAACTGACCAAATACCTTCAATTGGCTGAAGTTCACAATGATATGGAGGGGTAAATGAAACTTCATGTTCATACTGTTTTGCAATTTTAACACAAGCAAATGTCACCTTTTCTTTGTTCATTTGAACCAGCTCCAAAAGTTCTGGTCTTCTTAATTCATCAGAAAAAACAATATTGTGAGCATTTAGCCAATCAATTATTTCCTACTTTTTTGTATTTGAAGTTGGAATATTTTCAACCCGCCGTTTATGATAACTTGCTCCATCCATATGAATATTTACAGGTCCATATTTTTCATAAAGTGCTTTACAAAGAGTTGAAAAAAGGTCTTCAAAAATTTCTGCATTAAAATTTCCATGATAATCTACTTGATTTGGCATAATATTTGCATCTTTGACAACATCGGGAATGT